ACACACACACACACACACACACACACACACACACACACACACACACATTCTATCACTTAATGAGCCATATGATCTCAGCTAAGTCACTTAACCTTTTACAGCCTTAGATTTGTTTTCTATGAAATAAGTCCTGGACTACATGCTCTCTGGTGCTTCTCTCCAGCTCAGCAAATCTGTTAAGTTATTATTTAGTTCAGGCAGTAAATATAAAAGAGTTAAAAGAGAGATTAGCAGACTAGAATCATAATGGAAGTTTTCATATAAGCGGTAGAACTTGAGCTAGGTTATATAAGAGGGATAGAATTTATATAGACAGACAGGCAGGGAGAAGGACATTCATACAAAGGGATAACTCAGCATTGCTTTTCTTTTCTTCCAGGCTTCGAAGAAAAGGCATCCCTCCTACTCTTCTCCCAAAACTTAATTTTTTCACTTGAGTTCTAGATCACATTCCCCTCTCAACTCCTGAGAGATTATGCTCCTGATCTAATTCCTTCTTTTTAAGTATCTTTACTATCTACCACTCCATTAGCTCTATAGCTTCTGCTTTTAAAATGCTCAGGTCTCCCTTATGTTTATTAAAAATTATTTACTTTAGGGGGCAGCTTGGTGGTGCAGTGGATAGAGCACCAGCCCTGGAGTCAGGAGGACCTGAGTTCAAATCCAGCCTCAGACACTTGATACTCACTTTCTGTGTCCCTGGGCAAGTCACTTAACCCCATTGCCTAGCAAAATACAAAAAAAAAATATTTACTTTAACCTGCTGTCCCTTCTGCCTTTCCACCATTTTCCTTTATTTTTCTACTAAATATACTAAATGATCTGCACCTGTTGTCTCTGTTACCTCATTCATTCCAGCTTAAAACCCTTGTAGCACAATGCCACATAGAAGACACTCAGTAATTGCTGAATTGGATAGCATGAGCAAAAGTAGAGTAAGAAAAGTGAATATGCCATAAAGAGGGAAACCTAAGTTGCCATAGGGATTGGACCTCTAATATCAGTGATTTAAGGAATTTTCCAAAAGAGGAAACTCTCCTTATCAATATAAGTTGTCATCTTCTCTGCAACTTATGTTATTAGAAAGTTATCTAGAGCAATAAGAAGATAAAGACAAGTAGACCACCTGAAGAGTGCATACTGTATTTGAGTACATAGAGTATATGAGTTCAAATTTGCAGCACTGATCACTTCACTAACTTATTTTATTCTGTTATTATTATTATTATTATTAATTGAGAGTGATATTCTACTCATAGAAGAATACCTCTCTGATATGTTCAAGGGGAAGATATTTTTTCCCTCCAAAGGCTCATTCTCTTTATCTTTAATTTGTTCTTTATCTATTTTTTTAGTTGCATACCCAATTCATTGATCTGCCCTTTCACTATTTTATTGATGTAATAAGAATTTAGAAAAAAAAATTTTCCCCTAAGTACTGCTTTGCTGCATCCCACTCATTTTGGTATGTTGTCTTGTTGTCCTCTTTAATAAAATTATTGTTTGTTTCTATGATTTATTCTTTGACTCATACTTTAGGATGATTATTTAGTTTCCAATTAATTTTTAATCTATCTTTCCACTGCCCTTTGTTAAATGTAATTTTATTGCATTAAGATCCAAAAGGTATGCATTTAATACTTCTGCCTTTCTACATCGGATTTTGAGGTTTTTATGACCCAATACACGTAGATCCTGGATATTGCTGAGAATAAGGTATACAGTTAATCCCTTCCACACTGTAGGGGTCAGGGGTGCGGTACCCTCATGATCTGGAATATCTGCATAAAAATTTTTGGCCCTCCCTTCATACCAGAAAAAAAGTCTGAATTATTATTGGAATTATAAGATAAAATATGTTGATATTATGTGATACTATACATGTATTTTATGCATTTCTGAGTTTCTAAACTTTTTCTGTGTCATCTGCTGGCTTTTAGGTGTTGTCTATGGCTTCTTACAAAACTCCTGAAAAATTCCATTTAATTTCTTATGCTAACTCAAAATATATCAAAACCGCAATGGGGAAAGTTATGATGTGGAAGGGATAATTGTATATTGATTCCCAGATGGTGACTTATAAAGTAGTCTGAGACCTTGAGAGAATAGGACTGGACAATCAAAATCTTCCATTTCCAGAAAGACTCACCTAGAATATAGACAGGTGACCAACTGTCAGCTGACCAACCAGGCAGACTGTTTGTACAGGGTAGGCCAAAATCTCTTGTGAACCCATGCTAAAAAGGACTTAAGTAGGTTCATAGGAATTTTTGACTCATCCTATATAAATGCACTGTGGTATTGTTAAAACTAAATATAAATAAAATGTTTCTATGTTTATTCATAGTTTAACATCACCATATACAAATATTCCCATAAATTACAAAATAGGATGCCCTATATCAGTGATGTCAAACTCACATAGAAACAGAGCCTTAAATAAGGATCCCTACAGACTGTATATTGACTTAGAAAACCACATAATAGCATTATCAATATTCTATCATATTTTCATTTTGTTAAATATTTCCCAGTTACATTTCAATCTGGTTTAGGCTGCATATGGGGGTTTTGCAGGCTATATAGAGGTCAAGAGGTCACTGATCAAATTTTGAACTAAATTATTAGGCTAATGGGGCCTGCATGTTTGACACTTAGGTTCTACGTAATATATTTTTTAAATACATTAGAACATGAGCTCTTTGAGAATAGAATAGTTTCACTCTTTGGATTTGTATCTCTAGCACCTGGCACAGTACCTAGAAAATATTTAGGCCCTTAATAAATGCTTGTTTTTCATCATAATTGGTTAAGATGGTGGTGACAAACTCTTCAACTTAGCTCATACTTGTAGTCCAAAATCTATTTTGTTGTCAATGCCGAAGTAAATAGTTTTGTTTTCTCTTTAGGAAATAGCACACTCCCAGGTAAAACAGGAGGCTGTACTTCTTTATGAAAAACTTTATGAATTGGAGTCTCATCGAGATCAAATGATTGCAGAAGACAAGAGCATGGGGTCCCCAATGGAAGAGAGAGAACGATTACTTAAACAAGTAAGAAAAATATTTATAATATATGTTTATGGTATGTCTTAACTTTCACAAAAAGAATTAGAAAGGAAACCAAGAAGCTTATGCTATACTGAGCAATGAATGCACTCATTTATTATCTTAAAATATTGAATACCTTTCCTTTAAGGGTCAGTTCCATTTAAACTTGATGTGATATATTTGATAATAAGTCGAAATAGGTAGAAATTCACTTTTTTGATATAAAATTGACTAATTTTTCTCACAGTTTTATGGCTACAATAAACCATATCTTCTGATTTGTAGTTTTATAATTTCCATGATTTGCTTCACTGTTTGGAAGCATTAATATCTTCCTTTAATGTACATTTTATAAGATACAAATTTGAATTTATGTGTTTCTAAAAATGACTTTTATTGATTTTTTACATCACCTATTTTTGACCACATGCTCCCCTTTAGCTCCTTTTGAGAATGCCATCCTTTATTTTTTAAAAAGTATGAAAAAAGGAAGAAAAAATATTCCACAAAACTAAATAATACATGAAAAGAAGTCTGACATTATATTCAGTATCCCCTACCTGTGGGGAGGGTTCCTTACTTCAGGAAAGGAGTAGGGGAAGGTATATTCTCATATATTTTTTTTGGAGCCAAGCTTGGTCATTATAGTTTCACATAATTCAATATCATTAGTTATCATCTCCATTTACATTGTTGTAGTCACTGTGTATATTGTTCTCCTGGTTCTGCTTACTTCATTTTGCCTCAGTTCATGTAAATTTTTCCGTGCTTCTCAGTAATTTTCATACTCATTTCTTTCAGTACAGTAAGTTCCTATTACATTCAGTTAGCTAGTCAACAAGCATTCATTAAGCACCTATTATGTGCAAGGCACTGTGCTAAATACTGGGGGTTAGGGGGATACAAAGAAAGGCAAATAATTCTTGCTCTCAAGGAGCTGATGGTCTAATGGGAAAGTTAGCATACAAACAACTATTTAAAAATAAACTATATACAGGATAAATTGGAGATACATAATGTGTGAAAGAACTAGTATTAAGAGGGATTAGCAATGTCTTCCATTACCACATTCATGTACCATAATTTGTTTAGCTATTCTGCAATCTGTGGGCACCTACTTTGTTTCCACTTCCTTGCTATTGCAAAAAGTGCTACTATAAATATTTTGGTGTATATGAAACCTACCTTTTTGTTTTGACCTCCTTGGGGTATATGCCTAACAGTGTAATCTCTGGGTCAATGAGTATAGTCATTTTAGTCACTTGGTTTTCAAAATTCCAGGTTGTTTTTGATAATAGTTATACCAGTTCATAGCTCTACCAACAATGTACTAGTGTATCTATCTTTCTACAACTCCTCTGATTTGACACCTTTCCTACTTTGAGGGATGAGAGATGAAATCTCAGGGTTCTTTTGATTTGCATTTCTCTTATTATTAGAGATTTGGACCATTCTTTGATATGGTTATTAATAGTTTGCAAATCTTTGGAAAATTCTTTATTTATATATTATGACCACTATGTGGGAGATTACCCCCTCCCTTGGAAACGTTATTCCATTATCTGTTTTTAGACTATAACTAAGGCCTTCTATTATTGCTACTACCAGTGTTTTCCATGTGGTAGATGTAATTAAAGAATGCTTTGAACTTGTATATTTTGGGGGAAGAAATCTGAACCATCACAAAGGAAAGGAAACCTGCCAATTGAAGAGGACCTCAACTATTTCTCCAGGATTTAAGGAGCACTCTGAAGTAGGAGCTAGGGGTAGGAATAAGAGGGGATCAGAGAGAGTCAGAATTGTATCAAAAAGCAGTCTATTCTAGGTGAGTCTTTCTGGAAATGGAAGACTTTGATTGTCCAGTCCTATTCTCTCAAGGTCTCAGACTACTTGATAAGCCTCATAGTCACCATCTGGGAATCAATATACAATTATCCCTTCCACATCATAACTTTCCCCATTACGGTTTCAATATATTTTGAGGTAGCATAAGAAATTAAATGGAGTTTTTCAGGAGTTTTGTAAGAAGCCATAGATGACACCTAAAAGCAAGCAGATGACACAGAAAAAGTTTAGAAACTCAGAAATGCATAAAATACATGTATAGTATCACATAATATCAACATATTTTATCTTATAATTCCAATAATAATTCAGACTTTTTTTCTGGTATGAAGGGAGGGCCAAAAATTTTTATGCAGATATTCCAGATCATGAGGGTACCACACCCCTGACCCCCACAGTGTGGAAGGGATTAACTGTATACCTTATTCCCAGCAATATACAGGATCTACATGTATTGGGTCATAAAAACCTCAAAATCCGATGTAGAAAGGCAGAAGTATTAAATGCATCCCTTTTGGATCTTAATGCAATGAAATTACATTTAACAAAGGGCAGTGGAAAGATAGATTAAAAATTAATTGGAAACTAAATAATCGTCCTAAAGTATAAGTGAGTCAAAGAATAAATCATAGAAACAAACAATAATTTTATTAAAGAGGATAACAAGACAACATACCAAAATGAGTGGGATGCAGCAAAGCAGTACTTAGGGGAAATTTTTTTTTTCTAAATTCTTATTACATCAATAAAATAGTGAAAGGGCAGATCAATGAATTGGGTATGCAACTAAAAAAATAGATAAAGAACAAATTAAAAATCCCAAATTGAGCACCAAATAGGAAATCCTGAAAACTAAAGGTGAGATTAATAAAATTGAAAGTAAGAAAACTATTGAGCTAATAAATAAAACTAGGAGCTGATTTTATGAAAAAAAGCGATAAAATAGATGTCACTGGTTAATTTGATTTAAAAAAAGAAAGAAGAAAACCAAATATCCAATATCACAAATGAAAAGGGTAACTCATCACCAATGAAGAAGAAATTAAAGCACTCATTAGGAAATATTTTGCCCAGTTACATGCTAATAAATCTGACAATCTGAGCAAAATCAATGAATATTTATGAAAATATAAATTATCTAGATTAACAGATGTGGAAACAGAATATCTAAATAACCCCATCTTAGAAAAAGAAATTGAACAAGCCATCAATGTACTCCCTAATTAAAAATCCCCAGGGCCAGATCAGTTCACAAACGAATTCTACCAAATGTTTAAAGAACATAGTTGCAATATTATATAAACTATTTGGAAAAACAGGCAAAGAAGAAATCCTACCAAATTCCTTTATGACACAAATACGGCTTTGATGCCTAAACCAGGAAAAGCTGTTTTAGAGAAAGAAAACCATAGACCAATTTCTTCAATAGATATTGAAGCAAAATTTTAAAATAAAATACTAGCAAGGAGATTACAGCAATATATCACAAAGATCAGACACTATAACCAGGTACAATGTACACCAGGAATGCAGCATTGGTTCAATATTAGGAAAACTATCATCATAATTGACCATATCAATAACAAAACAACAGAAATCATATGGTTATCTCAATAAATGCTGAAAAAGCATTTGACAAAATACAGCACCCATTCCTATTAAAAACACTAGAAAGCATAGGAATAAAAGGAGCATTCCTTAAAATGATAAGCAGTATCTCTCTAAAACCATCAGCAAGCATTGTCTGTAATGGGGATAAGCTAGAATCCTTTCTGGTAAGATTGGGAGTGAAGTAAGGATGCCCATTACACCACTACTCAATACTGTACTAGAAATGTTAGCTATAACAATAAAAAGAGAAAAATAAATAGAAGAATTTAGAATAAGCAACGAGGAAACAAAAGTATCAATCTTTGCAATTGATATGATAGTATATTTAGAGAATCAACTAAAAAATTTACTGGAAATAATTAACAACTTCAGCAAAGTTGCAGAATGTAAAATTAATCCACATAAATCATCAGTATTTTTATTTATGACCAACAAAGTCCAGCAGCAAGAGATAAAAAGAGAAATTCCTTTTAAAATAAATGTAAACAGTATAAAATACATGGAAGTCTATTTGCCAAAATAAACCTAAGAACTATGTGAACACAATTACAAAATACCTTTTCACACAAATAAAGTCAGATATAAACAACTGGACAAATATCAATTGCTTGTGGGTAGGACAAGCCAGTATGATAAAAATGACAATTTTGCCTAAACTAATTTACTTATTCAGTGCCTTACCAATCAAACTACCAAAAATTATTTGATAGAACTAGAAAAAATAACAATATTCATCTAGAAGAACAAAAGGTCAAGAATATCAAGGTAATTCATGAAAAAAATACAAAGGAAGGTGCCTAGAAATACCAGATCTCAAACTACATTATAAAATAGTAATCATCAAAACTATTTGGTACTGGCTAAGAAATAAAGTGATAGATCAGTGGAATAGATTAGATACATAAGACACAGTAGTAAATGACCATAGTAATCTAGTGTTTGGTAAACCCAGAGACCCCAGATTCTGGGATAAGAACTCACTGTTTGACAAAAACTGCTGGGAAAACTGGAAAACAATGTGACAGAAACTAGGGATAGACCAGTATCTTACACCATAAACCAAGATAAGGTCAAAATGGATACATGATTTAGACATAAAGGGTGATACCATAAGCATATTAGAAGAGCAAGGAATAGTCTTCTTGTTGGATATATGGAAAAGGGAAGAATTTATGACCAAACAAGAGATAGAGAACATTATGAAATGTAAAGTAGATAATTTTGATTATATTAAGTTAAAAAGGTTTTACATAAATAAAACCAATGCAGCCAAGATTATAAAGAAAGCAGAAAGCTGGGAAACAATCTTTATAGTAAGTGTCTCTGATAGAGGCCTCATTTCTCAAATATATAGAGAAGTAAGTCAAATTTATAAGAATACAAGCCATTTAAAAAAAAGGAATACAAACCATTCACCAGTTGATAAATGGTCAAACGATATGAACAGGCAGTTTTCAGATGAAGAAATCAAAACTATAAGTCATATAAAGAAGTACTCTAAATCACTTTTGATTAGAGAAATGCAAATTAAAACAATTCTGAAATACCACCCCACATCTATCAGGATAGGCTAATATGACAAAAAAGGAAAATGATAAATGTTGGAAAGGATGTGGGAAAATTGAGATGCTAATGCACCGTTGGTGAACTTGTGAACTGATTCAACCATTTTGGAGAGCAATTTGGAAGTATGTCCAAAGGGCAACCAAGCTGTACATACCCTTTAATCTAGTAATACTACTACTAGGTCTGTATCCCAAAGAAATCATAAGAAAGGGAAAAGGATCTATGTGTACAAAAATATTTATAGCAGCTCTTTTTATGGTGGCAAAAAATGGAAATTGAAGGGATGCACATCAATTGGGGAATAGCTTAACAAGCTGTGGTATATGAATGTAATGGAATGTTATTGTGCAATAAGAAATGATGAGCAGGAGGATTTCAGAAAAACCTGGGAAGACTTGTATGAACTGATGCCAAGTTAAATGAGCAGAACCAGGAATACATTGTACACAGTAACAATAACATTGTGTGATGATCAACTGTGAGTGACTTAGCTCTTCTCAACAATACAATGATCCAAGACAATTACAAAGGACTCATGATGGAAACTGCCATCGACATCCAGAGAAAGAACTGATGGACTCTGAATGCAGATCGAAGCATACTATTTTCACTTTCTGTTTTTTTTCCCTTATGTTCTGTTTCTTCTTTCACAACTATGACTAATATGGAAATATGTTTTACACGATTGTACATATATATAGCCTATATCAAGTTGCTTATCATTCTAGCAAGAGGATAGGAGAGGGAAGGAGGGAAAAAACTTTGGAACTAAAAATTTTGTAAAAATGAATGCTAAAAATTATCTATATACAATTGAGAAAATGAAATACTATTATGACTCTTTTAAAAAAAGTACCTTAGGGTACATGTCTGAGGGCCACATTACCCAGCAGTACTAAGAAGAAAGCTTCAGGTGTGGTAGTTCACACCCCTTATTTAAAGAAAAAAGAGAAACCTGGGCATAGTCCCTTTTGTGTTTTTCCCCTTTGAAATCTATCAATTGGATTTTACTGAATTATATAGGTTTCAAAAAAGGTAAATCAGATTTAACATTTCAATGCTATATACTGTATTGGGGAAAATCTATGCTTGAGCTGTTTGATTTTTCTCCATTATTTTAGTTATTTACTAGCTTCATTTGAGTATTCATTCCTTACATACTATTTTATTGTGCTTTGTAGGTTAAAGAAGATAATCAGGAAATAGCAGGCATGGAGAGGCAGTAAGTATCATTTTCCTTATGTCCATTTCCTACCCTTTATTTTTTGAATGAATATGAGATTAAAATTATTATATTTGCTCATATTATGGTTCACATTGATAACATCAATACTTTTACCTCACAGAATAGGCAAATTTAGACAATGTAAACTAGACTAGGTATCAAGAAGACCTGAATTCAAATCTAACTTAAGACACACTTTGTATGACCCTGGGCAAGTCATTTAACCTCTGTCTGCTTCAATTTTCTCATTTGCAAAATGGAGATAATAATAGTATCTACTTCCTAGGGTTGTTTTTATCAAATGATACAACAAATAATATTTGTAAAGCACTTTGCTAATCTTATGGTGCAGTATGAGTGCTAGTTATTATTATTACTACTATATTATTATTATTAAATTGTCATGACATTTCTCCCTTTTGGTTTTCCTTCTGCCTGTTTAATTGTTTATGCTCAGTCTCCTTCTATGGGTATACCCTAAAACTCTGTCCAGAGCCAGGCTTTCCTCTTTCACTTGGTGACTTTTTCAGCTCCCATTAGTTTAATTATTATCTCTATGCAAATGACTTCTAAATCTCTCTATCCAGCCTAATTTCTCACTTTAAATCTAGTCCTACATCATGCACTGTTTATTGAGACATTTCTGTCTTTATTTTTGGTAGTTTTCTAAAACTCAAGGTGTCAAAAAACATAATTCATTATATCCGCTCTCCCTTAACCCAGCTCTGCCCCTTCACCTTTTATTCCTCATGACTTCTCCATTTCATTTTAGGATCCTCCACTTTCCTAATCACTCAGATTTGGAGTCTTGGTATTTGATTTCTCATTTTCCCCTAACCCACATGTTCAGTCAGTGGCTAAATCTTATTGTTTCTACCTCCACAGCATCTTTTTTATTGGTTCACTTCTATTTACTCATATAACTACTTCCCCAGTTCAGGGCTCATCACCTTTGACCTGGACTGTTGCAGCAGTCTCCTAATTGGTTTCCCTGACTTAAGTCTTTTTCCTCTCCAATACATTCTCTACATTAATGATGTCAAAATCAAATAGAAACATGTGCCACTTAGAACTGTACCTAAAGATCTCTATGAGAACATATTGACTTAGAAAGCTACATGTTAATATCACCTGTGTTTTATTATAGTTTTGTTTATTTTGTCAAATATTTCTCAGTTACATTTTAATTTGGTTCAGGCCCCACTTAGGAATGTTGCAAGCTGCATGGTTAATACCTCTGCTTTATATAGCTACCAAAGTGGTTTTCCTAAAATTTGTTTTGACCACTTTACTCCTCTACTCTATAAAATCCAGTGGCTCTGTATTGATTCTAAGATTGAATATTATTTCATTTTCATCCTATCCCTTTTACATTTTTATTCTTTATAAGTTTTATAATGTACATAATTATTAGTATGAACATGTATATAATTTTATAAATTAGTAGATATTATAAGTTAGTTTTACTAGATTTATAAATTAGTAGATATATATACATGTATATATATGTATATATATACATATATATATATGTATTGGGTTGTGTTAAAAAAATTTTTCTTGTTGATAACAGTGGTTAATCAGAAAGATTTAGCCTAAAGATTTAGTCCTCAAAGTGGGGTTCATAGGATGACTCACAGAGTGTTGTGACTAACTAATCAAAGCATGTAAAGGTAGGTCAGATCCCACTTTCCTGATAGCCAGTTATGGGTCTTGTCTCACACAAATTCCTACCACACTCCACTTACTGTCATCTAACAATTCCCTACTCTGCTCTTCTGCCCTCTTCCAGGCTCCCAAAATCTTCCCTTCTGTGCCTGGTATCATTCCTTATGTGTATGGTTTTAACCCAATCAAGACCTAGGTATCTGTGGCACCTATACAGATGTGATTAGGAAACTCTCACACACATCACAGTTCTTACACTCTACAACCCTGATAACTTTATGGCTCTAGTGCCTCTTCATTAGCCCAGGGACGAAAGACAGTAGCCAGTGAGTAAGAGCCATGCCTTTCTTTTTACTTTTGGTAGGACAGAGTGAGATCCACAGGATGAGCAGGCAAAGATATATTTTGATCTCTGTTACAGATCTCAGTACCTTTCCCACTAAATCTCTCTCTCATCTTCAAGCAACACACATTTACTAAGCTCCTACTATTTGCCAAACACTATGCTGGGCATTGGGGATACAGTGACAAAAATGAAACTCAGGGATCCATGTGAACATTTTGGAGATTAACCAGTTTAGTTTCAAAGTCTGCAAACTTAAAGCCATCCCTGAATTCACGAAATAAATCACAGGAGTCTGTCTGTCTTTCCACCATCATCCCCCTAAAAATGACCCTCCTCATATTTTGTCATCTTTACCTATTTACTGGTGTCCGGTAAAACCTCAGGGTTATGTTGATTTGCATTCCTCTTACTGGTAGTCATTGGGAACCACTTTTATGTAGTTGTGAATACTGTTCAATTCTCATGATGTTTGTTCATATCTTGATAACTCATACACCAGGGAATGCCTTTTGGCTTTATTCATTAGGTCTAGTTGCCTGTCTTTCTGGGTTGTCAGAAAAGTGATTGAAAAAGCAACTCTTTTTGAAAAGAACTTGTGCTAAGGAGAGAACATCAGGCAATGGATATTTGGAAATGTTCCCACTGTTAGGTGGTTTTATTGCCAAAAGTTGTGTCACTTATGTAAATTCTTATATCCACACACTTTAATAATTTAGAAGCAGAATAATTCTAACTTGTTTAAAAATCTTCCAAATTAAGAATTTTAATTGGTTTTTAATCTACTTGTTACAAATTTGAATTTGTTTATAAGAATAACTGACATTGGGGCAAATGTGAATTTACTATCTAAGTATTAACTAAAACTTTTATGTAATTGGTAGATGAGATTGAGAAATGAGTTTCAAATAAGTGCTATGAATAGTATTCTTTTTCCACCATGACAACAATTAAAACCAAGTATTCAAATAAGCCAAACTTACGTAACTTATAAATAACTATAAATATATTGGAACTGCCATATGCCCATATTCACTCTGTTGCCAAGATCTGTTGATTTCACCTTTGCAACATTTCATATGTTGCTTTACTTTGACACCCAAGCCCCCATCACCTTACTGTAAAAGCCTGCTGATGGATCTGCCTGTCTCAAATCTCTCCTCACTCCAGTCCATCCTACATTCAGCCACTAAAGTGATTTTCCTAAAAGATAAGTCTAACCATGTCACCCATCCCCCTGCTCAATAAACTCCTGGGGTTTCCAGTTGCCTCCAGGATCAAATACAAAATGGTCTGTTTGGCATTCAAAGCCCATCATAATCTAGCCCCTCCTACCTTTCCAGTCTTAGACTTTACTCTTCCATCCAGTGATACTGGCCTCCTGGTTGTTCCACAAACAAGACACTCCTCTAAGCTCTAGGCACTTGGTCTGGTTTGTCCTGCCTGCCCGAGATGCTCTTCCTCCAATTCTGTCTTTTCCAGGAAGCCTTTCCCAACCTCTCTTTAATCTAGTGCCTTCCCTCTGTTAGTTATTTTCTGTTTATTCTGTATACCGTAGGCTTTGTAAATATTTGTTTGCATGTTGTCTCCCTCATTAGATTGTAAGCTCCTTGAGGGCAGGGACTGTCTTTTGCCTCCTTTTTTTTTGTATCCCCAGCACTTAGTACAGTGCCTGGCACATTGTGGGCACTTAACAAATGTTTATTGATTGATTGATTGTTGCTTAGCTAGGTCCATTGATCAGATTCACCACACAATTAATTATGCTGACAAATTATTTATATATCCCCTAGAACATGCAGGGATTGTTTGAAAAATAATGAAGTGTATCACATTTTTCTCTTGAAAAAATACTGTTAATGCTATTTTAATGAGAAGAAAAGTTTTTTTATGCTGCTATTAAATAAAAATTTTAAAATATTGTTTATTTCATTATCATTTTTCATCTTTTTGTACATATTTTGTAATATACACAGTATATTAATGCAGTATTATACATGCATAAATTGCAAATAAATATACATAGAGTGGGGATGCTGAAAAATTGTTACTAAAAGGGGTACATTTTAGAGCAATGATCTCCAAAATTTTTGGATACTGCATCCTTTATCAGTAGAAGAATATTTGAGCAAGCAATCCCAATATATGTATATTTATTTATTTGCAAAGTATATACATTTACCACTGTACTACTAATATGCACAATTTAAAACAAAAAAAAGGAATAAGATAATATTGAAATAAGTAATATTTTAAGATATTTTAATAGTACAAAAACCTTTTTGTCATCATTAAAATATTATTAATAACAATATTTATTAATGAGAGCAATGCAATCAAATGTCCTGGGGAAAAGAGCAGACTTGTAAATAACCGTTACTTATTAGTACTTAATTATTCAGTTAATTTAATCATTGTAGCTAACCAAACAAGTGAATTTTTTTTTCTTTTAGCTACCTTTTATCAAAAGATACACAGCACAACAATCAAATAATAGGTTATGATATTCAGTGAATATTATATATATGAATATATACTCACTTTTCAGTGAGTCTAGTTTCTATGTTTGTAGGTGTTCACTATACATATTGCAAAATCTTAAAAGTAAAAATTAGTTATCTCTGATTTCAAATTAGTAGAAAAAATGCATGTAAGTGCCTTTTTGTTTATGTGGTTTTTACAAATGGTAGTATTATATCTTATTCGACTATTCATATTTGAATAATTCTGTTTTGTTTTTGTGTGTGTGAGCAACAGCTTTAAAGTCAGTTTGTTTGGACCATAAAGGACAGGGAGGGAGAGTAATATATAATTAAGATTTGGAAGGTAAGTTGGGGCAAGGTTTCAAACAGCTTTAAGTGCCAGAGAAGTTTATATTCTTAATAAATGTCTGCTGATCGATTGATCCTAGAGTCAATATAGAATCACTAGAGTTTGTTAAGTAGGATGTTGACTTGGTCAGATCTGTTGAAAATCACTTTTGCAGGCATGTAGGAGAAGGGAGAGATTTGAGGCAGGGACACTAATCAGTAGTCCAGGTGAGAGGTGAACAGGAACTGAATTGGGATGGTAATATTTGGGTAGGGAAAAGGGGATAAATGAGAGTGTTGTAATGGAGGTAGAAATAGTAGCATTTGACAACTGATTAACTATGGGGCTTGTGTGAAGAATTGTGTTGGTGACTGGAAGGATGATAGGGTCCCCCACAGAAATGGAGGAGTTTGGAAGAAGCGTAGGTTTAGGGTAAGATAATATAATGGAATCTGCAGTGAAGATATGGATCACAACCCAATTATACTTTTTCACCCAGTGGGATTCACTCTGTCTCAATCATAATGAAAACAGAATGGGTAGAACCCTTTCTTATGGTCATTACCCTGGAGCACAAAGCATACCTTCTGAGGTACGCCAGCTGCTGTAAGGTAACCTGGGAGGCAGAGGCTGATTTTGCTGGAGGGTAGTGCATTTTCCAGTGGCACCTGAACAGTTGCTATTTTAGGTGCCTGAGTTGTGATTAGGTTTTTAACTGCACTCAGTGGCTGATGTTCTGTGTATAACGGTTGAAGTAGATTAGACAACAATGGATGAAGGGCAAATGTGTTTGTGCTGGAGATAAACCCCTCAATTAGATCTAGCAGGAAGGGTTGGATGCACATTCTCTTGTCGAATGTTAGCATACTTCTTAATTATGCTACACTTTGGAGACCATTGCTTTAAAACCTTGCTGGTATTACTGCCCAAAGACTAAGTGGTTCTTACTAAACACTTCTCTCAAATTCATAAAAGAAATCTGGAAAGGATTATTAATCTCCCAAATGGACAGTATTGTTTCTAGAGACAAAAGGATAAATTGAGCTGATTATTAATTATAAAGTATAACTAACACTGGATTGGGGATCAGGAGACTCAGGCACTAGTCTGGGTTCTTTAATTTACAAACTAGGATAGTCACTTCACTTCTAAACATTATTTTCCTCTGTAAAATAAGAGCTTTAGACTAGATGAGCTAGGTCCTTTCTAACTTTAACATTTTATAATGTATACAAGCTAAACAGAGCTGATTTTCCAGGGAACATTTCATATCATCATTTTAGGACCATAAATTTAGAACTACAAAGTGCCGTAGTAGCATTTAGTCTAAATGAGGAAACTGAGACATTAAATAGTTTGTCCAAAATCACACAGATCATGACATATTTGTGCCTGGGGCTCAGGTCCTCTGACTCCAAATCTAGCACTTTTTACAATGCAACAATCTACTTTTCATCAAATATTTTTACTCCAATCCTATTTCCTTTTCTCATATGATTATTTTTTTAAATCCTGAATTTAACAACTATTAGATAAAATGAGTATTTATGTGTGTAAAACAAACCAGAAAAAAGTTGTACGTTATTTTTAAAAATAATTATTCTTACATTTGCTAGGTTAACAGACATAAAAGAAAAAATTAACCAATTTAATGAAGAAATTCGGCAGCTTGACATGGATTTAGAGGAGCACCAAGGTAAATAATTATTATTGTTAGAATTTGAAATAGAAAGTACTTAATAATTAAGGGTAAATATTCATGTAAGACTAGTCATTTTTTGAAATTTTCTATCATAAACCAAGCTTGAAATACTTTTCAGTTATGTAATGAGGATTTATATTTTCAGATTTATAATATACATTTACTTTTTAAATGCTTTACATTACAAAATCTTAAGCATTTGAGTTAAAAACATTGTTTCCTCATAAAACCATCCAAAGAGAGAAATATATAAATACTCCTAAATAATAAGTGTGTGCATGTGTTAGGTATAAAGAAAAATTAGCAGCAGGCGCAAACGTTTAGCACATTTGTGAATTAAACTTTTGCTTATACTTTAATGCCAAAGCTTTCTATAGAACTGGAAGGACCTTAAAGTCCATTTAGTTCAACCTCTTCATTTTATAGATAAGGAAACTAAGGCCAAAAGAGGTTAAGTGACTTGCCCAGGGTCACATAGCTATTGAGTATGGGAGGCAGAACTTTGTGTCATTCCTGAAACAATTCCAGCACTCAATTGACTACATCAATTATAGTCCTCTTATATAATTAAAATGCACTTATAACATGCAAATCTAGTGAATGATAACTAATGGTCTGTAATAAAGATAAAACTCACTAAATAATTGTCATTTTTGCTACAAGTTTAATTAGATGATAATGAATTTGCCAATTATTTCAAGCTCTTGCTTTCACTTGTCCTCTCTCACTCTGTCTCTCACACATACACATATACCAGTGTAAATGAATGTTGTTGAAAATAAAAATGTAGCTAATTTCCTCTAAGTTGGGGAGGAGATACAGGACACTAAAGTTTCACTAGAAGTGAGTTCCTTTTGGTCACATCTCTGTTAAAGATTTTTCTTGAGCAGTATTCTTCCCCCACCCCCACTCTGAGTTATACATTTTCCCTATCTCCCTACCATTCCAAAGTACCTGTAAACTCCAAGGACATCTTTATATTATACTGGAAATTATGGGACTCAACATTTCCTACTCCCCCTCTACCCAGTTTTCCCCTTTAAATTATCCTTCAACAAGCCTACAAAAAACATTTAACCAAGAGAGCTTTTTGTTCACAAAAATGTAAGCCATGCAATCTAGATTTAGATGGATACTTAGAAATCAGCTGGTACAACTTCCTCACTTTACAGATGAGGAGACTGAGACCCAACAGAGTGATCTAAGTAGCAGTTGAGATTCAAACTTAGGTTCCTACTCCAAGTCCAATGTCTTTTTCCTCTCTATTTTGTCACACTTTATTTTACCAGGAAAGCATTTGTCTATCTACCCCAGTCTAACCTAAGCTTACCTTGGCATTAAAAAAAAAATTATTAGATCTGTTGCTTTTGCTTACCTTAGGTACAGTCATTTAACCTCTTACTGCCCCCAGGCAACTCCTTAAAACTATCAGTTACAAAGCAAGTACAGATCTTTCTTGGTAGAGGAAGTTTCCTTATTGAAAGTTTTTTATACCTACAAAATCGTAGACATGGTCCACTCCAAGATTGATTAAACATTTACTCATATCTGAATCTGGTAACATTGAATTTGTTATCATTGTACTTTAACAGCTTAAAATTGCACCAAGACTTTTGCGTGTTTATACCTGCATAGTATAAACACAAATTTATCATAAAGATATAATGGAAGAGAATTGTAAATTGTCATGAGAATATATACTATTTTTCAAACTTCCTCACGTTTCAGATCGTAAAAGTAAGCTGTAGTGGATTCACTCCATACACTAAGATACTCTGAATTTCTCAGAATGATGAGTTTTTTATAAGATTTACCATAGAAGATTAGTCTTATATTATGAAAGGGAAAGTCAAGCCATCAGTAGTAACAAGGAAACTTCAAGTCATGGTTCCTTTGGAACTACTAGACAGCTTATTTTTTAAATTGGACAAAAATTCTGCTTCATTTTTAGCCATACTCAGTAAATAGTTTCTCATCTCGTTCCATGTTTTTAAAAAATTAAGTATAGAGTCATTTTGAAAGAGTGCTATTATTAAATATGAACTTATAAAAACCACGAATCATGGCACATTGGTGTTACAGTATCTTAAACTGAGTCAATCTTTCTTAGAAAACGACATTTTCAGTGTTTTATGACCATAGTATACGTATTCATTTACTAAACTTTTAAAGAAGGAAATACTTATAAATTCTTGTATGGATATGCAAATTTTTCTGTTAATGATATATGTATGTACATATTTCCCCAATTATGATGAAATAGGAAATAGGTATTAAATAAAAATGTTAGAAACCTGAGACTTAGGGTCTAGTTAAAAAACTAGATACTTTACTAGCTACCCTCAGGTATTCATGTATGAAAGGTACATAATTAAACTTGTTAAAGTGTACATAAACTGTAGCAAAAGTGATTAGGTTTCAAATTAAAAATAGCTTCTTGATAGTGGCAGTACAAAAGTATAAAAGAAAAGGAACCCTCAGGGGAATGATGGAATTCACATTCTTTTTTTCCAATTTTATTTATTTATTTTTAGTTTTCAACATTCACTTCCACAAGATTTTGAGTTCCAAATTTTCTCCCCATTTCATCCCTCCCCCAACCCCAAGATGGAATGCATCCTGAATACCCCTTCCCCTAATCTTCTCTCCCTTCTATTTCTCCCCCCCCTCTCTCATCCCCTTCCCCTTCTATTTTCCTGTAGGGTAGGATATCTTATTTCCCAGTTGCATGTGAAAACAATTTTTAACATTTGTTTTTAAAACTTTGGTTTCCAAATTTTCCCCCTTCCTTGCTCTCCACCCACCCTCATTGAGAAGGCAAGCAATTCAATACAGGTTATACATGTGTAGTCATGTAAAACACTTCCATAGTAGTCATGTTGTTAAAAAACTAACTATATTTCTCTTCATCGTATCCCACCCCCTGTTTCATCTATTCTCTCTTTTGACCCTGGCCCTCCTCAGAAGTGTTTGCTTCTGATTACCCCTTCCCCCAATCTGCCCTCCCCCTGCTCTTTTATCCCCTTCCTCCCTATTTCCCTGTAGGGTAAGATAGATTTCCATACCCAGTTGAGTGTGTATGTTATACCCACCTTAAGCCAAATCCAATGAGAATAAGATTCACTCATTCCCTCTCTCTTCCCCCACTTCCCCTCCATTGTAAAAGCCTTTTTGTCTTTGTTTTATGTGAGATAATTTACCCAATTCTACCTCTCCCTTTCTCCTTCTCCCAGTATAATGCTCTCTTACTTCTTAATTTTATCCTCTGGATATCACCCCTTCATCTTCAACTCACCCTGTGCCCTCTGTCATCTATTTTATCTCTCCAACTATCTATCGATACATACAATTTTTTTCCCTCCAACTACTCTAACACTGACAAAGATCTGCAGGAAAGTAAACAGTTCAACTTTAATAAGTCCCTTATGATTTATCTTTCCTATTTACCTTTTCATACTTCTCTTGAGTCTTGTATTTGAAAGTCAAATATTCTATTCAGCTCTGGTCTTTTCATCAAGAATGCTTGAAAGTCCTTTATTTCACTGAATGACCATTTTTTCCCCTGAAGGATTATACTTACTTTTGCTGGGTAGGTGATTCTTTGCTGTAATCCTATCTCCTTTGACCTCCAGAATATTATATTCCAAGCCTTCCAATTCTTAATGTAGAAGCTGCTAAATCATGTATTATCCTGATTGTATTTCCACAATACTTGAGTTGTTTCTTTCTGGCTGCTTGCAATATTTTCTCCTTGATCTGGGAACTCTGGAATTTGGCTACAATATTCCTGGCAGTTTTCCTTTGGGGATCTCTTTCAGGAAGTGATCGGTGGATTCTTTCCATTTCTATTTTGCCCTCTGGTTCTAGAATATCAGGGCAGTTTTCCTTGATAATTCCTTGAAAGATGATGTCTAGGCTCTTTTTTTTTTTTGATCATGACTTTCAGATAGTCCAATAATTTCTAAATTCTCTCTCCTGGATCTATTTTCCAGGTCAATTGTTTTTCCCATGAGAAATTTGCATATCCATACCCTACATTGTCTTCTATTTTTTCATTCTTTTGCTTTTATTTTATAATGTCTTGATTTCTTATAAAGTCACTAGCTTCCATTTGCTCCATTCTAATTTTTAAGGAAGTACTTTCTTCAGTGAGCTTTTGGACGTCCTTTTCCGTTTGGTCAGTTCTGCTTTTAAAGGCATTCTTCTCCTCATTGGCTTTTTGGACCTCTTTTGCCATTTGGGTTAGGCTATTTTTTAAGCTGTTATTTTCTTCAGTATGTTTTTGGTTCTCCTTTAGCAAGCTGTTGACTTGTTTTTTCATGATTCTCTTGCATCACTCTCATTTCTCTTCCCAGTTTTTCCTCTACTTCTCTTACTTGCTTCTCAAAATCTTTTTTAAGCTCTTCCATGGCCTGGGACCAATTCATATTTTTCTTAGAGCCTTTGGATGTAGGAGCTTTGACTTTGTTGTCTTCTTCTGGTTGTGTGTTTTGATCTGCTTTGTCACCAAAGAAAGATTCTATGGTCTGACTTTTTTTGCACCTTTTGCTCATTTTCCCAGCAAATTACTTGAGTTATGTACTCTTTGTTAAGGTAGGGGTCTGCTTCCAGTGTGGAGAATGTACTCTCCCAAGCTTTGGGGGTTTTGTGCAGCTGTTTTCAGAGAAACTTCTAGGGACCTGTAAATTTTCATTTCTTACAAGGTGGTACAATCAAGGGCGAGGTGTTTACTCCTTTCCTGGTCTAGACTCAGGTCTATGAGTGACCACAAGCACTTTTTTCTGCCTTAGAACTGTGAGGAGGATTCTCTCTCCATTACCACTATAAGCTCCACCATACCAGCGCTCCTCCTTGCCCCAGGACCACCACCCAGAGCTGCAACCCAATTCCAAGCACAGGCAAAGCAAGAAAATCCTTCCTCACCACCAGCAAAAAGATCCCTGCAATCCCCATCTAATCAGCCACTCCATTCCCCCCATCTGTGGGCTGAGCTCTGGAAGCAGCTGCCACCCCGGGACTGTACTGGGACTGGGGCTGGGCCTGAGCTTCTCTCTTGCCGTGGTCACCGACTTTTCCTACTGACTTTCTAAGTTGTCTTTGGCATTTGTGGGTTGAGAAGTCTGGAAACCACCACAGCTGCCTGTGATTCAGTCCTCCAAGGCCTGCTCCAGGTTCACTGAGGCTTGGTCTCTGCAGGCTCAGCCCATGCTGAACTGAGTTCCTCTCCCAGCCCAGTGCAATAGACCTTTCTAATCACCCAGCCAAGGGTGATAGGGTAAGATAGGATTACAGCCAAGAATCATGTACCCAGCAAAACTAAGTCTTAGGCTGGAAATTTGTTTCACTCTGTCTTTTTGTGGGTTCTGCTGCTCTAGAATTTTTTTCGAGCCATTTTTTTGCAGATATTTGGAGGGGTTTGGGAGAGAGCTCAAGCAAGTCACTGCTTTTACTCTGCCATCTTGGCTCCATCCTGGAATTCATATTCTTAAAAAAAAAAAGATACCTCTTGAAAGGATTAAGAGGTAGGGACCTGAACTACACCATCTTTCTAGAACTGTGTTTTTATGATTTTTCTGAAGCATCTTAAAATCTGAGTTTTTTGAAGTCTTCCCACAATGTGTAGGATTTTTTCTTTGCAGAATCTGCACTTGAAGCTATATATATATGACTTATTATCTGTGTTGTATTCTTCCATAATTTTCCTCATCACATATTTTCTTTTCCCGAATTTTAAAGTAATAATAAAGTATTCTCAGCACACGTAATTTTGTTTTAACATAATGTGAGTTTCCAACAGTTCTATTATATGTACATATACCTGTAAGTGTACATGTTTTTATGTATATACATGTATGTGTTTGTGTGTTTCATAGGTCACCTTTACTCCATGCAGTTCATTTTGGTTCTTAAACTCATAGGTAGATATACAATGATAGACCTGTGTTTGGGGTTTTTTTTGTTGTTGTTGTTTTTTGTTTTTTGGTGTCCTATGTGAGTTAGTTGAGTTGTTCTCTATGTCAAAGTCTCAAAAGCAACTGGAAAAAATTTCCTCACTAATCCTATAGATGAGAATGTGTTTTTTTTTCCCTGTTCTTCTTCCCTTTATGTAAATTAAATGATTTGTCTGATTTCCATAGCTAATTATCTTATTCTTATCTCAGAAAACTGAATGCCACACAAAGCCTCACTTCAGTGTTCATAACACAGTATTTAGCTTTACCTTCATGTAAATAAGATTTACATCCTTTATTATTCATGGTATTAAGTTTTAAGAAGGAGTTTTTGTTTAACTGTAAACTGAAGCTTTATGTGGTTTATATGAAGACCAGTAATCATTTATTAAGCAAATGTCAACATATTGATCTGATTTTTAATTATTGCTAGAACTTGTTAAAGAACTATTTGTAGCCGTTCAGCAAAAACAAATCATCTTTCCATATCACAGCAGTCCACAAGATGGTGCCAACTTTATGATAGTCCAATCATAAAACAGAAACCTGGAAATTAGATAACAGAAAATAGTTTCCACAGTTAATCCATCCTCTTGATCATATCCTCCTACAGTGGATTCTGAATCATGTGACTCATAAATTCCTAAAGATTAGTTATGCTGTAAAACTGAACACAAGGCATACAAAGTAATTACTAAAATATACATTCCTTAGTTCAAGGTATGTCTCTCTTCCACTGATAATAGCATGCTCTTCCAATACTTAGCAGAGGACATTATGGATGCCTGCATAATTTATATCTTTCTATCATGGAAGAATAAAATACATAATCTTATTACTTTAGACAGAATTCTTTACCTGACTTAAATCTAGAAGCCCAGAGGCTCCATGCTTTATCTATTTTGGTGAAAATGAAATGACTTATCAGAACTGGAATCTGTAGTCTTTCCTCTTGAATAAATTTCCTAAATGATATTGCAAAATATATTTTAATGAAATTTTGAAGAAAATAATTTTATTTCCCCTATCTTCATCACCCTACAACCTAAGTTCAAACTGTTTTCTTCTCTGACATCTTAGAATCTAAGTGATACTTTTTTTTTGTTGCTTCTCATACAATTGAGTGACAAACAGTAGCTTGTGGTTGAGCTTGTAAATAGTTAAAATGAACTCTGTGTCTCTTATTTAAAGTAACCTCCAGAGGCCACACTCCCTTATGTTGTACTCAATGCATATCAGAGTACTAATTATATAGTCCCTAATTTTCATGGAATGCCAGTTATTCCCACTGTATCCAGTCCAGCTAATTAACATTTACATGTTAAATGTCAGCCTGTTTTTCTAGGGTATTTTAATCCATTCCATTGAGGTCTAGAAATAGAATTATTTTGTTCTAGCCTATTATGACTGTAAAAAAAAAAGTCTTACTGCCCCAATTTAAAACATGTAGAAGATGTTTAATCTATTGCTCAGTTGGGTAAAATATGCCATAGTCAAAAATTAGCTGTGCAAGATAAGGTATATTTCCATATTTATAATATCTATATTAAATATTCTAGTTTAATACTGCAGTATTGGTATTTGAATATAATATTGTTATAGCTATGTTATTAAATATACAGTATATGCCTATATAACTAAAAGGTGGTTAAGATAATGTAAAAATTCCATGAAATTACTGGCAATTGGAAACATTTAAGTCACATTAACTAATGAAAAACAAATATATTGGGAAGTCTAACACATTTAGACTTAAGATACTATTTCATTTATGAAATTATAGAATTCTGTATCTCTTATAGGTGAAATGAATCAAAAATACAAAGAGCTGAAGAAGAGAGAAGAAAACATGGACAGTAAGTTCTACCATCAAATTGTGGAAATATATACATACATCTTTAGATATATACAGCATATTTAGATTGCTTTTCTTTTCTGTAAATCTAGTATTTTTTAAATGATTCTTCTATTATTATGGGGCAACGAGTTGGCATAGATGGATAGAATGCTGGGTCTGGAGTCAAGAAGACCTGACTGTGTTCAAATCTGGCCTCAGATGCGTTACTAACTGTGTGACACTGGGGAAGTCACTTAACTGCTGTTTGCCTCAGTTTCCTCATCTGTAAAATGAGGATAATAGCAGTATCTATCTCACAGAGTTGTTGTGAGAATCAAATGAGATATCTGCAAAGTGCTTGGCACAGTGCCTGGCATATACTAGGCTTTATATACATATTAGTTGTCATTATTATCATCATCATCATAATTACAGCAGGTTGCTATTCAGATCACCTTAATTCATACTGTACACAAAGCACTGTGGGAAGGAGGGAGATACAAATTTAAATGAAACAGATTCTTTTTTCTTGAAGAACTTATAGCAATTTAGAAGAAACAAGAAATGTATAAAAATAACTGCTATACAAATATGGATTCTAAAAAAAGTCCTACTTTAGTACCTCATCATGGCATGAAAGTGATACTAGAAAGCAAACTCTAGTAGGTTCTGGACTTAAAGTCAGGAAAGGCCTATGTTCAAATCCTGCCATTTACACTTACTAGTTGTATGACCATGGGCAAATCACATAACCTCTCTGAGTCTCAGTTTCCTCATCTTTAAAATGGGGATAATAGCAATCAAGAGACTTTACACATAGAATTATTGTGAGGATCCTAATGAATGTAAAGCAAACTTTAAAATACAATATGAATTTCAGTTGTTGGTATTATCAAGCTGGAAGGACTTTAGATAGAGGTCCAGTAACATGCTGCATTTTCAATCAAAGGATTGCAAAAGAAAAAAAATCCATAGCATGAGAATTATGCCATTGAACAAGCCATTTACTGCAGGGAATTGCAGGGAAGAGAGACCAGTAGGTTAAATTTAGAATTTTTTTTTACAAGGTTTAAGTTTCATACAGAAGTTTTTATATATCCAGATAGAGGTATAAGTGTTGCCAGTTTAAAAAAAATTATAGCTTGCAGAAGATCCAGTCACTGAGTACCTTCAAAAGAAAAGAACATCAAAGAAAGTACAGCCATCCTAACTTTCAAGAACTATTTCACATTCTTGTTATTCTTGTCTTGCATAGTCAGGACAAAGAATGGGTCCCTGAGGCCATCAGATGCCTCCTCAAGGTAAAACTGACTGATAAATTCAGAACAAGAGCTTTCTATAACTTTATCAAGAGTTAGTTGTTAGTCGATGCCCCCATTTGGGGTTTTCTTGGTAAAGCTTTGCCATTTCCTTTTCCAGTTCATTTTATAGATGAGAAAACTGAGGCAAACAGGGTTAAGTAACTTGCAAGGAGCACATACTTAATAGCTGTCTGAGGCAAGATTTGAACTTAGGTCCTCCTGACTCTGGGGCCAGTACTCTATCTACTGTACTACTTTACTGCCCCTTTTCAAAAGTAGCTTAGCTAATTGTGAAGAAACAGCATCAGAAATTTGGCTAGTAAATAAAGAATATTTTTGGCCTTTGGAGACCCAAGAAAACCAACTAAAATTTTTTTGATTTCCATTTGATTCTTTATTTTCGTTTTTAAAATTAATAAACATTTTAAAAAATTAGTATGTCCCTCCCACTACCCCCACCTCTGAGAATTTTTTTTAACTCAAAAAAATAAAGCCCTCTCTATCATAAGAATAGCCAAAATTTATTTAGCATTTACTATGTGCCAGGAACTGTGCTAAGTACTTTAGAGTTATTATCTCATTTGATCTTTAGAATAACCGTAAGAGATAGGTGCTATTATTATCTTCATTTTACAGATGATGAAACTGAAGCAAACAGATTGAGTGACTAGCCCAGTTGGTCACTTACAGGTAATAAATGTCTGAGGCTGGATTTGAACTCAGAGTCTTCCTGACTTCAGGCTTAGTGCTTTATCCATTGTCCCACCTAGCTACCTTGATATTTTCCCCCTGTATATCTACATAGTCTAGCGAAACAAATTTTCACATTAACCATGTACAAAAATATAGATATGTTTCTGTATTTTAGGTTTGTCATCTCTCTGTCAGGAAGTGAGTGGCATGTTTCATCTTCATTCCTTTGGGATAGTGGTTTATCCATATAAACATAGAAAACCCCTTAGTCTCCTGTGAGCCCTTTTTGTTTATGACAATGACAAAATGGCAGTGAAAGAAGTAGAGTTTTATAAGAACCAAACTGTTCTTAAACCATCTGCAAACATTACACTTTTTGGCACTCTTGATGGTTGGTCTTTGTTCAGTAACCAATAAGCTGAATAAATTGAACCATGACCAGAAGAATTGAACCACATCCATATTGTCAGTTTTGGAAAGACAACTCACAGGTTGCCGCTGGGAAGATAGAGACAGTGGTGTTGATGGTTCATTCTGCCCTAAAAAGCAACAAAAAACATCAGGTCTTGGGACCGTTGGCTTTTTCTTTGCAGTGCTCACAATGAGTCTATATAGAAAGACTACCAAGAAGATACTTGAAACTCATGCATCAACATCTGTAGGAGAGGATGAAATAGTGGAGGATTTCTATGAAAAATTTGCATATATCCTTCAAATTAAATCAATATATACTTCGATATGTGTATAGATAATGATCTCAGTGAAAAGATAGGTAAAAGAGAAGAACTAAAGCTGTGGTGGAAAGTATAGCTCAGGATTAAGAACGAAAGAGGCCAGCAACTCTTACACTACCCAGCAGCTTCATATTCATACGTTATGGATACTTTCTTTAGGAAAATAATTTGTATGATAGATAAGTCACTGGAAAACATAACAAAAATTAAATATACTATATCTTGACAGAAAAAGAATTGTTAATTATAGAGAGGGTGATCACTTTAGGAATCAGTTATCTATATATGTATATGTATATAATCATATCATCTAGTTAGAGGAAAGGTCAAAGTTAATGCCAAGAAGAAAAGATATATACAAGATGATATATGTGATGACCAGCAGCTCAGCCAACCTGTCTAAAAAAGCTATTGCCTCTAAAAATAAGAAATGGGAAAAAAGTATAGAGCATACAAAAGCCGAGAAACCACTCTATGCAGCAAGCTCTTGATCTCTTCCTCAGTGGAGAAACATGGTAGCCAAGGACAAAATAAGTTCAGCATATAAGTTCATGTGTACACATTGCAGAGGAAAACAACAGAAGATTATGAACTTTAATTCTCAGTACAGCAAAAGAAGTTGAGAGGAAAATTAATCTATTGAGACCTTGGCCCAAGACTAAATGAAACTATATCATCTTCGAGACTATTTAAAGAAAGAGTGAAAAGAACATAATATATCAAAGGAAAAAACCAAAGAAATAGGTATCTGAGAATTGGACAAATCTGACCACATTTCTATAATGATTTATTTGTATTAGTGACTATAGTGTAACCATGACATTTGGCCCCTCTTATCTCAGATACTACATGAGGGAATGACAGTTGCACTTAAAAAGAAGAAGCCTGGAAAAATGGCTATATCTTGCCAAATACTGAAGAAATCCGTGATGAAGGTGACACAGTTTTAAAGACACTCAGAAATCATTTCAAGATATCTCAGAGGGAGCAAGAATCCAAAAGAACAGAATAGATTACCAATTAAAAAACAAAACAAGGAGACATTAAAATCACTAACCTATATTCCTGCTTTCTCATCTTATAAAAGTCTTTATGATAATGTTCTGTGTATTTATAAGGGACATCTTTGATAATACTATGATTGGAGGAGGTACCTTTCACAAATGATTTTCTTATAGCAGACATTTTTAATCACAAAACTGACTAAAAGCATAAGATCCTGTTATGACTGTTATTTATGAATTTCAAAACATTCCACCTGTTTGTAAAAGTATTATAAGACTTTACGACAGGTATGACCATAGATAACTTTGTTCAACAATATGCTGAGTAGCACCATCAAATGAGATATGAAACAGGGATGTATTTACTAAGTTACTTGACAGTGTTATAGAAGGTGCTCTAGGAAAAGTTGTGAAGTTTTGCAAGAAAAGAAGAAAAGACATGGTGTGCTAGTTTGATAAGGTAACTGACAAATAAAAGGACTTTGTGGGATAGGTGAGACCTTAGTGTATTTGTAGGCAGAGGAGAGGGAACTAGTGAAACAGAATGAAAGCACAAGGGAAAGAGGGGGTGATTAATGGATTAAGGTCTCATGGGAGGTTGGGGGTGGAAGGAAGATTTGAAATCAAGGGTATAGATGGAGGGATTAGCTTTAGTATAGAAGTAGATTAATTTTCTTGATATAGAAGGAAATACCAGAAGATGCGGGGGCGGGGGGGAAACAAAAGTTTTGAGGTGGGAAAAGAAGATATTTGAGCTAGTTGAGCTATCTCATATTAGATATCAATTCTAAAGATTCGGAGGCAATGTTATCTTCTGAGAGGAACAATATTAATTATGGAGGATTGTATAGATTAGAAAAAGTTTGGATTAGCAGCTATGTGGAGAAAAGGGATGAATGAAAAGGGTTATTGTGCAACAGTAAGAAACTCAGATAAAGTTGGATAGAATGAATTTGGAGTAGACTTCATCAACATGATGTCATTACTTTTCTCAAGCATTGTTTTGTGGTCCAGAATAAATGAAGAAAGTGGATGGTGAAAGTTTTCAAACTGACACTGGGATTTGAAAAATATACTGGCATTAAATTTCTAAACATGTGCTGCTGAGAATCAGTCACATCACTACTTTTCTATGTTGTTAATATGTCAACAGTAGTTTCTGTCATGTTTTTTGATATATAGCCTTTATTGAGACATTTGAAGAGGTAAAAAATCAGGAACTAGAACGGAAAGCACACATAGAATCCAACATCGTTGCACTATTGGAGCACTGTAGCAGAGTAAGTACTGAGTGTCTTTGTTTTTCTTTTTTTCTTTCTTTCTTTTTTTTTTTGGTTTTTTGTTTTGTTTTGTTTTTTGTTTTTTTTTTTGGTTGGGCAATGGGGGTAAAGTGACTTGTCCAGGTCACATAGCTAGTAAGTGTTATGTGCCTGAGGCTGCATTTGAACTCAGGTGCTCCTGAATCCAGGGCCGGTACTCTATCCACTGCGCCACCTAGCTGCCTCCTCTTTGTTTTTCTCATTAGCCATATATGATGTGACCTTGGCCAAGTCATTTAACCTCTATTTGTCTCAGTTTCCTCATCTGATGATAATAATATTATCTACCTTGCAGAGTTGTTGTGAGGCTCTAATGAGATAATAATTGTAAATTACTTAGCACAGTAACTAGCACTTAGTAAGCACTGTATAAATGTTAATTAAAAGATATTCTTCCTACCCTCAAGGAGCATATAATCTAGTAGGAATGAAACATGCGTATAAAGCCCTGATACAAAGCAAAATGCAATGCATGCAAAAGAGAGGGCTGGAATACATGCTCTGAGATATTTAAGGAGAAAATGATTTTAGGAGAGACTTTCAACTTGGGGGAACTTGGAAGAAAACGCAACAGCATTAGGCTTTGAAGGAAAGGAAGGATTTTCAACAGGCAACAACTGGAGAGAGGCAGTCTATTCTGGGCATGGGCAAAGCAAGCGAGATAGGAGAGGGCAAGATAAAAACAGATAAAACTGGTTCAGTTTGACTGGAATTTAGAGGACCTCGATTTCTATAACCTTTTTCATCATGATTCAGCCATACACCATCACATTCACACCCAGCTCTTTCTGAATCATGGAATTGTACTACCTTAAAAATCATGAACTTTTGATACTCAACTCTACTATCACAATCCCCTGTTCTTTGACTTTTTCCATTATCAGTAACATGAAACCTGTTTGTCATGACCTCCATTACCTTACTCTGTTCTTGTTCACCCAGTCCATCTCCCCTTATCTGATCTCAGTTAGCCTCACACCCAGCCTTGATCCTTATGATCTGTCACCTTCTAGATCTTCTTGCCTTTTGAAATCTGTTAATCCTCATCTCTTGGTTGCTCTCACCATCTAATTTCTTTGCTGCTGCAATGCAGTTTCTGAATATCCCTAGAGAAGATCACGAAATCAAGCTAATTCTATCCTCTAAATTTGTTCAGGAGATAGCCGTGTCCTCAATGCTGCTCACTAGTTATGCTCTACTTTCATCCATGTTGTACCTCATTCCACATAAGACTGTCCTAAATATTTTCCTTTCTTCTCAAGCTTCCAACTGCATCACTACTCTCTGGAATTATAGCTCATAACTTGGCGTCTTACTTCACTGAGAAAATTGAAGTCACCTGAAGCCACCTTAATTTCCTTCCTCTAGTCCTCAAAACTTCTCAGAAGGATCATCTGCTCCTTTTCACTTAGCTTCAATCCTACAGGAATAGTATTCCTACTCTTCAATAAGGCTAATACCACTATCTCTACCTATGATCCCATCCTTCCCAGAATCATAGTCCAATAATTATCTCCTTTCATTCTTGCATGATCTTCCTATCATCTCTGTCCTTCCCATCTCTATACAGACAGAGTTAGGGCTCTCATTCTAAAACAACCTTCCTAGGACCTTTTTAATATATTTAATTACCTCCTATCTTTCCTTCCATTCACTGTCAAACTTCTTGGGGGGCGGGAATGGTTTATATCTTCCTTATCTCCCACTCTTTTTCTTTTAAATTTATTTTTCATTTTTAGCATTCTTTTTTCTAAATGAATTCCAAAAATTCTCCCACAATTCCCTTCTCCCACCCAGTGAGAAGGCAAGTAAAATGATATTGATTAAACATGACACACTGTCTTCTTAACCCATTGAAATTTGACCTGCATGCAGCATTCTGAAACCTATGGCAAGGGTACTAGCCACCTCCTAATTATCAAATCCAGTAGCTTTTTTTTGAGATCGCATTTTCCATAACTTCTTTGCAGCATTTGAAACTACCAGTTACCTTTCTTTATACAAATTCTCTCTCTTGGTTCTCTCTTGATTTTAGTTCAACCATCTGCTCTTTCCTTGTTTCCTCAGTGGATCTTCACTTAATCACATTGTTAGAGCTCAAAAGAATCTTTAAAATCATTTAGTCCAACCTAGGGAAGGGAAATGATTTATGCAAGGCTATGTAGATAGTAAATCCCACTTAACAAGATTTGCACCCAGGTCTTCTAATTCCAAATCCAATGGTATTTTTTAAGATGTAAGCAACTCAAGATTCTGGCCTTGCCTCTTGCTTCTTCTCTCTCTACCATTCTCTCTATCCTTTGAAAAATTTTATTTTCTCCCCTCTCTGCAGATGACTTCTAAAGATATGTTTCTATAGACCTCTATTCCTAGACTTCTCTTCCAAACTTCAGACATGTATCTCCAGATTTTTACAGAGTATAACTACCTAACAGTAATGTTGCCAAAACATCAACTGGACATATCTATTGCCAACCTTATTTTCTTTCCGATAACCTTGTTCTTCCTTATGACTTCAGTGTTCCTATCAGTGACACCACTAAATCTCTCATATTTTAAGTCTTGGTATTATCTCATTTTCCCCCTCTTCTTCACCTTTCATATCCTTTTTGCTTCACATATCCTTTGTAGGCTAAAGCCTCTTCCAACCAGTCCTCCCTCACACTGCTTCCAGATCTGACTTATGTACTGATCTGGTTATATCACTCTTCTGCTTTAAAAAAATTTTTCTTTGGAATACTGTTGTTTACTGTGTAAAATTTAAATTCCTTTCCCTGAAATTCAAGAGCTTCTGCATTGTGACATTACTTTGTTTTTTCTATTCTTATCTCATATAGTTTCATATCCCTACATCACAGTTCAATGAGACTGTCATCTGATGAGCACACCCATCGTGCTTTCCAGCTTTTGTTCCCCCAAATATTCACTATGCTTTCTCATCTCTGGGCTTTTTTCTTTGGGTGTTTTCCACCCTACAACACTCTCCCTTTTCCTCTCCCTCTTAAACTTTTTGAAAGCCTTACCCTTTAAAGTTCAATTCAACTGTTAACCTTTTCCATGAAATATTCCATGAGCACCTTGAACTTTTCTCTACCTCCCAAGGCACAAATCTTGCCCAACATTTTGTTCTATGCATTTATCATATATTGTTTTGTTTTAAAGTTATCTGCATGTGAATCCTATTCTCCTACCAAACTAAACTAAGATTAGAATTATAAGAATAGCAAGGAATAGAAGGCTAAAGGTCACAATGAAATCAAGGAGAATGTTTAAAAAGAGTAAAAAAGTAGAATAAGTGGAAGGATAGGTGATTGTGGTTAGAGAGTAGAATCTCAGTTTCAGGATCTTGGAAATGGAGTAGTTTCAAATAATGTTGATTCCTGAGGTATGACAGCCTTGTCTGTGGCTGAAGTAGAATGGAGATCAGTCATTCAACAAGTTTTTATTAAGCACCTGGAATGTGTGAAGCACCATGTTAGATCTGAGGATACAAATGCAATGAATGAAACAGTCCCTACTCTCAAGTAACTTGTATTTTATCAGGAGAGACAACAAGGATTTACTTAAGTATATACAGAATAAACATTAAAAATACAAATAAATACAAAATTGTTAAATAAAAGGTAATTTGAGAAGTATGGCATTAGCAGATGAGGGATATGTAGGAGGAGAGGGTAGTCAACAGTGTCAGATGCCACAGATAGGTTTAAAGACTGAAAAAAGATTAAGACTATCAAATTTGCCCATTAAGAGATAACTTTGGAGAGAGCAGTTCAGTCATTGATAAAGTCACAAACCGTACTGCAAATGGTTGAGGAGTGAGTGAAAAAAAGAAGTTGAAGCAGTGAGTGTAGACAGCTTTTTCTAGGATTTTGACTCTCAAGAAGTAGAGATACATAGGATGATATGGTGAGGGCATGGTAGAGTTTAATGAAAAAAAATTTTAAGAATGGGGGAGACTTGGCATGTTTGAAGGCAGTAGGGATAGAATCAATAGTTAAGGAAGAGGTTGAAGATTAAAGTGTAAGGGGGTGGCAGTTGAGGTTGTAATCTTCTAGAGAAGATGGAGTAGATGAGATCATGGGCAAATGTAGGTGAGTTGGCCTTGGCAAGGAGGAGAGAGAGGGTATGATATCTAGGGGTCTTGAGATGAAGAAAAGAAAGAACTCACATTGAATGTCTTCAATTTTCTCAATAAAAGGTGGAATCCTTGGTTGAGAGGGGGAAAGAATGAAAGGAAGTATGGAAGACTTATAGAAAGAAGGAAAAGTTTTGGAAAAGCTTTTCTAGGGAGTGATATAGGGAAGAACAAAAAGATTGCATTGCTGCAGTGAAGGTCAAGGTGAAAATGCATAACATAGATTTATAATGTACTTAGTAAATATGCTTTGTGACTTCCTTTAGTTCAGTTGAGTAGCATCCAGTTAGAAGTAGAGGTAGATGGAGGGTAGGAGTAGTCCTGGCTGAGTTTTGGCAAGGTGTGAGTGGTGATAAGATGGTAGAGGTCATAGGAGTTTGGAAGTTCCAAAAACTATGAGGATGCCTCTTCATATACCTAGCCATCATAATTCCTTGAACTTCCAAATTACTGTGTCTTCCATATCCATCCTACTTTAGCCATTCCTCAAGATGGCCACACCTTAAAACTTACCAACAACAAACCCCATTATTGTATCTCTAATATCTTAAGCATCTGAAATTCCTCTGTTACCACAGTCACCTTTCCTTCCATTTCTCTCACTTTCTTATTCTTCATTCTAAGTGGTCCTAATGCACACCCTAATTATTCAAGAAATATTGATTGACTAGCTCTATGCTAAGAACTATGAGAGTACATAAGATATATTACATGGTCCCTTTCATGAGGAGATTACCAATCAACTTGGAGAAATTAGTGGAAAACTCAAACTAAACTCTTCGAATAGATTAATTGAATTTTATTCTCTTTCTCCTCTTTATTATGCCTCCTCAAGTAAAAGTGATTATAGCAGTAAAACAAAGAAAGCAAAATAGAAAAACAGAAGCAGTCTTTTTTTTTAACTAAACTTTATTGAAATATTTTGGTACATCTATCATATCATGATAGAATTTAAGAGTTGAAAGGAATTTTTGAGATAATCTATTCCAGTTTCCTCATTTTTACAGTTTGGGAAACTCAGGCCCAGAGAAGTTAAATGTCTTGTTCTAGTTTATTCAGTAAGAGGCAAAACCAGGAATGGAACCCATATCTTATTTATTAAAAACCTATGTTCCTGGTTTAGTTTATTCATTTTAAAAAGAAAATCCTATTCAAAATATTCTCAAAATCTTTAAAAGGATATTCAATTATGTTTATTAAAAGACAATTCAGATTAATTTCCCATTATTTTCTTTTAGAATATAAATCATATGAAACAAATATCTTCAATCACCAACCAAGAACTGAAGATGATGCAAGAAGACCTCAATTTCAAATCTACTGAAATGCAGAAATCACAAAGTACTGCCAGAAATTTAACTTCAGGTAAGAACAAACTGATTTTGATATTCTTTGTCCTAACTGATGTGTGAAAGGTAGAACTTGACACTGAGGTTTTCCTGGCTGCAAACCACACTCTTTATCCACTGTCATGTTGTCTTTGTTCACAGAAATTCATAATATAAAGCATTATTTTATTACCACTTTAGAAGTGCTTGACTGATGTTAGATTTTTCTACATTGCAAACTCAAAACTATCTTTCTTGACATGGTAGAATCACAATGAATTTCTTGGTGAAATTAATTTGTTCCATTTATGAAGACTTGGTTCCAGAGGCCAAGAACCTGAAACCAGATTATCTTTATCTTAAAAGAACTAGGAGCCCGTTTGTAAAAATTAAATAATTAAAAATTGACATAATGTATAGGACTGGTATTGTAGTAAATTTGTCTATTGTATGTCTGTTGTCAGTTGCATCCATGATGGTGTGGTTAAGAGTTGGCTGAGGTAGTTAGGTAGTAGAGGGGATAGAGGGCTGGCCTTGGAGGCAGGAAGTCTGAGTTCAAATGTAGCCTCAAACAAGTTAACAGCTTTATGACCCTGCCCAGGTCATTTCACATGTCTCATCATCAGCTTCTCATTTGTAAAATGAGTATAATAACAACATCTGCTTCACAGGGTTGTTATAAGTATTACATAAGATAATATATGTAAAGACCTTTCCAAACCTTAAAATGCTGTATTAATATTAGTGATTACTACTAGTAACTAATATTTAATAGCTATAATTAACAGCTATACTCATAATTAATAGCTAACAGCTATTAATAGCTAAAAGCTAAGTAACAGCTATAATTAATAGCTGATGGAACTGGATCTCTGCTAGGTAGAAAAGAAAACATATGGGAAGAACTAGTAAAAATTTGACAAGTTAAAAATGTGCCTAGATTTTTAAAAAAGTTATATATAAAACTTGTCAAATCCATGCACTTCATTCATGAACTAGACATTATACAGTGCTTAATAAAATGTTTCAGTTGTATTTGTAAAAATTGTATTTGGTTACATTATAGATACATAATTTCATGTAACTAAATATGTTTATTTTTCCTTATCCTTCTATTTCATCTCCAGAGTGTAATATAATATATAGTAGGCCTTTAATAATTATTGTTGTTACTTTTGGAACATTAGGATTCATCATATTTTCATTAATTTACTTGTTGGAATTATATGCCAGGAAATAGAAGAACAATCCCTCCAGGCTCACTTTCCCAAACTTCACTTATACTGGTAGATTGGGTCCCCAGAGGGTCACTACTACTTCTTCCCTCAGTGTTTTGCAGGTAAACCTGTGGGGTTGCAGATACTTTCTAATAGGATTCAGCTTGAGAGCTTCTTTCCATTAAGGGCTCATTGATGACCAGCCATACAAATTTAGGTAGCTTTTATAAAGGGTTATTTACTGAGATGGTTTAGTAAGGACAGTTGGTACAAAAACATCCTCCAAAAATTCTAGAAGATAATCCTTTCTCGTGTACATGCTGATTTGGGGGAAAGTGTGCTGAATCTTAGAGAGCACATGTAACAAAGAGGTAACTTAGCTCCAGCTTGAATAGAGGTTATTTTCTCCTTTTGTGTGGAGTCCATATAAAGTTCACCTTTGTGTATAGCTCTTTGTTGGACTCTAAGGGTTGATACCCTTGTAGGATCCTGAAGCTGCTTTTCTTCTGAGTGTCTAGTTTGTTCTTGGCTGTTGATAAAGATATTGCCATCAGCAGATGCTGTTCTTAAGATACTGCCCCAACAATGATGGGCAATCCAAGCTTTCAACCTTTGACGTTCACAAATTCATCCTCTGGTCAAAGGAGGCAGAGGGGAGAAAAGATTCTCTCTTCCCTAAACCAAGTGAGGGCTTGGCTGGAGTTGTTCCACTACTACGGACGCCTGCTATGAAGTGGCTTGCTGTTTGAGCCAACTCCATAAGGGCATGACTGATTCATTTCAACCAAGAAGATACTTGCTATGTGGCATCAGCTGCTTTCACTCAATTCAAACCTAGTTTGTGCCTTTGATTGATTCTGTAACTCATTCAAAAAAGTATCTGAATATAAAGCATCCTCTCTGTCCCCAATAGCTATCATTCTTTCTCCTTCCTTTTGTGGCTAAAGTCCTTGAAAAGGTAGTCTACAATTGGTCTTCCACTTCCTTTCCTATCAGTTTTAATTCAGTCTGACTTCTGATCTTATCATTCAATTGGAATAAAGCTCTCCAAACTTACTAGTGATCTCTTTATTATCAATCCAATGACCTTTTCTCAATTCTCATCCTTCTTGATTCACTAATGCCTTTGAGAGTCACTTTCTTCTCATTGACATTCTCTTCTTTCTAGGATTTGATGACACTGCTCTGTCTTGGGTCTCCTTCTACTTGTCTAATTGCTACTTCTTGGTCACACTTACCTGCTAACCATAGTGGTCTCTTAGGGCTCTGTCCCAGACTTTCTTCTCTATCTATATTATTTCATTTGGTGATCTCATCAGCTCCCATGGATTCAACGATGGTCTCTATATAGATGATTCTTAGATTCTTTATCCAGACCTAACCTTTCTTCTGATGTTCACTCTTATATCTCCAGCTGCTTATGGGACATCTTAAACTAGAGATCTTGTAGACAACTTAAACTCAGCATGTCCGAAACATGTTCATTCTCTTTTTCCCAAAAACCTTCCCTTCTTCCCAGCTTCCCTATTTCAATTGAGGGCATCGCTATCCTCCCATTCATCCAGGCTCACATATCATCCTTGACTCCTCGCTCTCTCTCACCTCTCATATCCAATCTATTGCAAAGTCCTATCAGTTACCTTCACAACATCTCTTATATGTATATCCCCTTCTCTCCTCTTACACTGCCACCACCTTGGTACAAGACCTCATCAATTCACACCTGGGCTACTACAGAGAGCCTACAGGTTTGTCTCTCTGCCTGAAGTCTCTCTCCATTCCAGTCCATCTTCTACTTCACTATCAAAGTGATCTTCCTAAAGTAAAAGTTTATGTCTTCATGTTATGCCCCCCACCTCCTCCCAATCTTCATCTCTCTAACTTCTTTCAAAACTCAGTAAAATCCCTCCTTCTGCAAGAACATTTTCCTGCTCCCTTTCAATGCTAGTTACTTCTATCTATGATTATATCCAATTTATCCTCTATGTAGCTTATTTGTAGTTTTTTACATGTTGTCTCCCCTATTAGTATGTGAATTCTTTGAAGGCAGGGACTATTTTTACCTTTTTTTTGTCTCCCTAGTCTAGGATTTGCCCTAGTACTTGGCACATAGTAGGCTTTTAATAAATATTTGTTGACTCGACTTGCTATTTACATTAATTGGGGTTGAGGTGTTTGAAACACAGCTATTACATATGTAGATAGTGTAAAATCACACTAATTACAACCAGATTTGGATAACATAATGTTAGCTGACTCAGTCAGTGGATAATAGGTAGTCTTAGTCTGAAACAGTGGTGTTTGTTTTTTAAGGCTTTCTTTCTGCTTAGAAGCAGAGTTAAGCAATTTCTCATTTTAGTTGTTTGAATTAGAAAACCGTTTTGGGTGGGGCAGAGCCAAGATGGCTGAGTACAGAAAGCACTCAGTTAAGATCCCCCAACATTCCCCTCCAAACAACTTTAAAATAATGCTTCAAATCAAATTCTGGAGTGACAGAGTCAGAAAAAAGTCAGAGTGACACAGTCTTCCAGCCCATAGGAGGGGGTTGGAGGCTAGCATGAAGCCCACATGGATGAAACACCAATGATGGAACTAGCAGCTTTGGAAGTTCTCAAGTGAGAGACAGTAATGGGACCAGGAAACTGATCAGAATGAGAATACAGGAGACTATTGTTGCTAGTGCTAGTAACAGGACCAGACACTGTTTTGCAAATCCATTGGCTATGTATACTTCTATGCTATAGTTCAAGAGCAGAGAGGAGCACTTGGCAATCAAGAGGAAATGGAATCGCTGAGGAGCAATATCATTTTTTAGTCACAAGGGTTCAGGGACCCCAAGGAACAGTATTATTTTTGGTTTCTTGGGAGCAAGGGCCCTGAGGAGCAGTATTAATTGCAATCCCAAAGGATAAGGGGCCCTTCCTGGATAAAAACCACAGTGCAGACCAGGAGAGCAAATCACACCACCTTGGAAGCACCAAAAACTTTGAAACCCCTAGAATTAGATCTGAAAACAGCATTGCAAAAAAGCCTGAAGCTTGAGACAATGCCTTTCCCCTCTCCATGCCAAGAACAAAGCCCAACTTTAACATGAAATTAAAAATCAAGAAATAGGATAGAAAAAAATGAGCATATAAGAAAAAAAAAAGAACCTGACCATAAAAAGATAGTATAGTTACAGGGAAGATCGAGAATCAAACTCAGAAGAAGACAATGAAGTCAAACAGCAACAAGCAAAGACTCAAAGAAAAAAATGTGAATTGAACACAACAGAATTCCAGAAAGAGCTAAAACTTATTTTCAAAATCAAATAAGAGTAGTAGAGGAAAAGTTAGGTTAACAGGGAAGAAAGGAAGAAAATTATGAAAAGACAATTGACAGCTTGGTAAAGGAGTGACAAAAAATACTAAAGAAAATAACATATTAAAAATCAGAATTGGTGAAATGGAAAAAGAGGTTCAAAATTCACTAATGAAATAACTCCTTAAAAAGCAGAATTGACCAAATGGAAAAAGAGATGCAAAAGCTAACTGAAGAAAATAATTTCTTAAAAATTAAAATTGGGCAACTGGACGCTAGTGACTTAATGAGACATCAAGAAAGAACAAAACAAAGTCAAAAGAATGAAAAAATAGAAGAAAATGTGAAATACATATACATTCAGAAAATTGATGGAAAAACAACTGACCTGGAAATAGATTAAGGATAATTTAAGAATGATTGGACTAACTGAAAGCCATGATTAAAGAAAGATCTTAGACATCGTATTTCAAGAAATTATCAAGGAAAACCGCCCCAGTGGGCCAAATAGAAATTGAAA